ACATTCAGCGAGAGGGTGGAGGACGTGGCGGTGGAGGGGTGCTCCTTGCATTACTTCACTCCCGCTCTGTTGTAAATATTTTCATTCTTAGTGTAAGGGTGGGCTTTGGAGGAAAGGGGCACCTCGCATTCTAGGTCAGAGGTGTTACATGACCACTTTGGCTGATGTGACTGTAAGAAGCATTTTCATCTCTAATATGGATCCCAACTAATCTCCTCCTCTGTGGCCTCCGCGCATTATTTTTCCAGGAGCACGGTGGTCTCTTTCGCTCACTTTCCATGTATGAATGTGTATCTTTGTGTGGACTGTATTTCTCCTTTGCATGCGCCTGAACCCCCTGCGTGTACGGAGTAGCCTCCACTTCAAATCCAATCACCGAACTCACTGACCTGTCAGTCAATTTTGGACATGAGCAAGTTTGAGTCATCAGGTTTGCCTGTCCTGTGTGCTGATCACTCCACCGCTGCCTGAGAAGGTCAGCTGCCGTTCTATCTCGGGTTCATCACTTATCTCTCTGCCTGCTGATGTCCTGACTACAGAGCCCTCTCTGATTTGAGTGGAAGAAACAGAGGAAGAGTCAGAGTCACGCCATGATATGTAGCCGACAAGATGATGAGAGGAGAGTTGAGTGTTCAGTGGGTCAAGAATCAGGATTTCAATCAGAGGCATTCAGTCATTTCAGTTTAATCTTAAACAAATTATACAGCCAGCACAAAAGAGAACAGTGTATTTAACACTAGAAAATGTGTTTTCTTTCTTTTTTAATGCTTGAAACACACAATAATAACGTGTTCATTTTATTTATTCATTTATTTATTTTGTTTCCTCATTTCTTCTTTATTTCTTCTTTAATTTCTGCAGTTAAGGGGCAAAGATATAAAAAAAATATAGGATACTTTTTGCTGTTAATTCATGTTTTATAAGGACACAGATTCCGATACATCTTGTCTGCCATTCAGAATGAACTGCATGCATGTATTTAATTGTGGTTTCTGTGCCCTTTGTGTGTTAGGTTCATGTACCCTCACCAAACTAGAAAGGAAAATGAAAGAAAATAAATCTGTTAAATTGAGTTTATCTGTGTAATCCATTTCAGTTTGTTCATACAACACTTCATGTTGTATTTCAGCTGAAATTTTATATGAAATATACAGAAAGCATCCTCTGTAACACATTTATTACAATACAAAACACTTATTCTACACGAGGTCAAAGAGGAGGGTATTGCGTAGCACTATTTGCCTACAGAGAACATCACGAGAAAACATGTTTTTTGACTTGCAAACCTGAGCAGTGCCAGCTGTCAGTGACACTGCCAGTGTTACCTCGTGTTCAATATGCCAGGACACTGCGAGGTTGATGTCCTGAAGTAAAAGCCTTGCTCAATAAGCTGTAATAACGGTAAAAACACTGAGAGAGCGTGTATGTTCACTAATGTACTTTTAAAATGTTATTATTCTGTAAATGGGTATAAATAGCTTTAGTCTTAATAAATAATAATAATAATAATGATATATCTTACTTAAAGAGCGCTTTTTGGGATACTCAAACATACTTTACATGATGAACATAGAAACTCAAAATATATAATACACATCAATAATTCCACATTAACAGCAGTTCTTTTGATTTGTGATTTGGGGAGAGACTTCCAGAGGGAAGTCGCAGCTCTGTTTTTGATACTGCATATGGCTGATTCTTGACTAATTTATAAATCAGCTTTAAAGTGTCAGAAACTAGTCACGTTTACCCATTTTCATAGTTCAGAGCCCAAGTTAATGTCTTCAGATTGCTTGTTTTGTCGAAGCAGCGGTCCCGAGAACAAACAGACTCAGTTTACTACACACATAACAAAGGAAAGCAGCCTTACATTTAAGAAGCTGGAATCAGAATCAGCTTTATCAGCTTTATTGGCCAAGTATGTGTACACGTACAAGGAATTTGACTCCTTTTTTAAGGTCAACAAAGCTTAACAAAATAAACATGGAACTATTATATACGTCCAAGTAGGTGAAATAGTTCAAAGGATTAAATATTGGACCGGTAAAGTAATAGATTATATAAATTAAGTAGGTGGTTATGTTCAGTATATGGATGTTTATATACAGTACGACAGGCAGGATTTATAGTTGATGGATAACAGGTACCTGCTGTTAAAGCACAGCGTGTCTTTGAAAATGTAAATATATAATTCATCATTTGTAGGTATAAGTGGATGTTTTGATGTTACAGGGTTATTGTTAGCGCTATATGACTGAATTAACTGTGCAGAGAAAAAAATGATTAATCCTTCATTAAGAAAACTACTGATTGAATTTCTGTCAGTTGTTTCAGCTCCACCTACCAACAGTATCAGTTCAATCAATATGTGAGTGAAAAACAAAGCTTCTTTACATTCTAGTGTAATTTACCTCCACTAATCTCCTGCATTTCAGGCCATTCACAGCAAACATACAATACTTGGAAACAGAAGAACAGCTTAAAGGGGAACTTCTTTTCATGAAGATTCAGTTTACTTGTTGCATGAACTCGATTTCTGAACACAGTTGTACCAATTTCTTTTGTGGTTATAGACGATTTTTTTTTTTTTAAATGCTCAGAAAATTACCCTGGTGAGGTCATCAGGGAGTTACCTCAGCTCAGGCTGTAGTACTCGAGTACTCCAGTCTCAGACTCAACCAGTTTTTTCTGTTGTCTTGAACTCGTCTCTCACCAAATATTCTAGCTGGGCTCAACTGATAAGAAACTTCCTCCTTGAAAACTAAACCATTGATGGAGTGTGCATGTTCAGAAAAAGGGTATTATTAATTCCATCTAGAATAGGCATTGACAATGGCCTCCTGGTAACTACACAATCGTATGCCTGGCTGCCAGAACTCGTCTCATCTGCACTGTTTCGGTCTTGACTTGGATTCGACCCTCTTTGGACTCTGGAGTCTCGACTGGACTCGACAAACGTGGTCTTCACTGCAGCACGGACATTAAGTTAGATCATGGACATTTATCAGGAGAGGTCTAATGAAACGTTGATTTTGAGGAGCATTTTGCTGTCAATGGTGTCCAAGTGTTTAACGTGTTTATGGAAATATTGTGGTTTTATTGATCCATCCATCCAGCCCAACTTCTTCCCTACATGGACTTTGTGACTCTATAACATCACCTGACCTCCTCCTACTATTGTGGCCACTTGAGGGCCTTTATAAGCTGTTGCGAGGGACTCGCTAAAACAACTGATGCCGTCTTTCTTCTTGAGTGGATGGTCTCACATTTTAGAAATGTAGGATCCTGTGTGTTTTAAGTTTTACTGATAGTCAGGGTCTTTTAGCCTTGGTCTCATCAATTCTGGTCAGACATCGATAAAGTGTACAAACTGTGTAGAGATGCAACACTTAATTAACTTAATAAGCCTTAAAACAATAGTTTGACACTTTGAGAAATTTGCTTGTTTGCTTTTTTTAAGCTACAGTCAGATTGTAGATATGATATGTATGATAAGTGTGAAGCGACTGCCAGCAGGAGGTTACCTTAGCTTAGCATAAAGACTGGAAACAGGGGGAAACAGCCAGCCTTGTTTGTTTAATCTGTACAAAAACTGAAAAGAAGTCACTTTTCCTGACTAAGAAATCGTCCCGCACAACTTACTTAAAAACTTTTTGTTTTATGGACTTCTGTACAGAATAAACAAACCAAGTATATAGAACTTAATTAACTATCTTTGTGGGTGGATTTTGTTGCCTTCAGATGGAGTCAGACTAGATGTTTCTTTGTTATTTTTCAGACTGATTGCTGGCTTTACAAGAGAGACATTGATCTTTTCATCTCTTTACAAGGCAACAAATACGTGTATTTCTCAAAATGTGGAACTATTCTTCTCGTGATTGAGTGAAATCTACTTTTTCAGTGAAATGTGTATTAATAATAAACTGACACAAATATATACAAATTGCCTGATATAATGTGATGCCATATGTCAAACAGCATGTTCTGAGCAAATGTATGAATGCGGGCAAAGCGTGGGTGGTGGTGTTTTCTTTCTTCTTTTTGAAGGTGGGGGGGTTATTCGTGTGTGTGTGTGTACACCTGGGGAGGATCACTAACTCCCCAATATGCAGCAAACATCAGTCAAGGTTCAAGGTTGTTCTGATGCCACCTGAGAGTCTGTGAATGAGCACTTTTACAGGGTAACAAGGGGCCCCTGCACATGTTATTTAAGTCATGCCAACTCTGAAGGGGGGCTGTGTTGTGTGTGTGTGTGTGAAAGCAGGGGTAGAGATATCCAAAACCCATCAGCTCATCTAAAGAAAAGCCTTATCAAAAACCTGATAAATAAAATGTATGAAATGATGAAATCCAGCTTTTTCTATTGATTATACCTGTTTGCTTTGAGTTACATGCACTTATTATAAAGTTGCAAGGAACAGTTTGGAAAATCCTAATTGGATTTTATCATTAAAGGACGCATGGAGATATTAAAAAAAGACCACAACTCAAGCTAACTTTCTCTGTAATTAAACAGTGTTTTAATGCCTATATATGTGTTAAACAATTACATTAAACATTCAAACAGAGAATTTGCTCTGAAAATGCCCAGTTACCCCCCTTCACCTCTGAAAGAACAAACACTTCAAAACACAAACAAAGCAAACACACACACACACAGCTCGCAATCTGTCAAATATTTGCCCACGGTGCAGAAGTGTGGCAGTAGTATTTGCTTTGCCAAAGTTTCGGTTCTTCCAATCGCAGGTCGCTCTGAAACACGGTTCAAGCGAACCGCGTCACCTCCGATGTGGCCTGTGTGTTTATTTATAAAGGAGGGGGGCAAGGGCACTTCCTCGGTCTTTCTGAGGTCATACGATCCTCCCAACGTGGATCCATAAATGAATGGTGGGCTCGACGGCCACACCATGCAGGACCGGTCCCTGATTGGTTCGGTGCACGGCAGGAATAAACACTCTCAGGGTATATATATTGGTGTGAAGGTGTGACACTTCCAAGAAACGAGAAACCCCCTAAAAGATAACAAAGAAGAGCTGCTGTTAAACATTAGATTATTATTTTTTTGGTTTTAAAACTAAAAACAACACAAATCTGCAGATTTGAGGATGAGGGCGCAGATCCAAAAAGTTCCTCAGATTGTTGAGTTGCTGAAAAAGAAGTCTGTAGGGCTGCAGCACTTCAAACCAACATCCTCAGTGTGCGTCCTGGAGGAGAAGGATGCTGTGGAGGCTGCGCGGTGCCCTCACGCTGCCTCCGGAGCGCACAGTCTGGACGCGATCCCGGGACCCACCAACTGGCCCCTCGTCGGCAGCCTGGTTGAACTTCTCCGGAAAGGAGGCCTGAGAAGACAACACGAGGCACTGGTACAGTAAAATCACTAACTTATCTTCTAGTTGTATGTTTTTTTAACTCCCTTTTCACTTCAGCAAAATGTTCTCAAACGAATAATAATAAATAAAAAAGCATAAAACGTGTATTTTCGATTCAAATTGATCACTTGAATCTATTCTAGGTTGATTATCACAAGAAATTCGGCAAGATTTTCCGGTTGAAGCTGGGCTCCTTTGAGTCAGTGCACATTGGCGCACCTTGCTTGCTGGAGGCGCTCTATAGGAAGGAGGGAAGTTACCCTCAGAGACTGGAGATCAAACCCTGGACAGCATACAGAGACCTGAGAGACGAGGCGTACGGACTCCTCATTCTGTAAGCAGCCTTCGTTTATTATTATTTATCCTCTTATTCGCGTAGAAAAGTATCCGTAACTCGCAGTTTAGATGTGGCACAAATGTTTTTTGGATGAAGTCTAAAGTGTCTGATTTGCAGGGAGGGGAAAGACTGGCAGAGAGTGAGGAGCGCTTTCCAGCAGAAACTCATGAAACCGACAGAGGTGGTGAAGCTCGATCGCAAAATCAACGAGGTGAGTTTCAAATTCAGTTTTAAAACTCACATTTGAAACACCATTTGTGTTCGTGCTCGATGACTGACCGGTTTTGTCTCTGTGCGTGCAGGTGTTGGTAGACTTTGTTGGCAGAATTGGGAAAATTAACGCCGGCGGGAAGATTGAAGACTTGTACTTCGAGCTGAATAAATGGTCGTTTGAGAGTAAGTTCATCTGTTTGTTCATTCGAGCTGCAAAAAAATAGGCATTATTCTCGTTATCAGAATAGTCTGCTGATCATTGTTTAGTCCATAAAATCTGTAAAATAGTGAAGAAAATGCTGATTTCAAATGTCTTCAGAATAAGAAAAAAATTAATTTCTCTCTTCTATCAGCTGATCGGTTTCCATTCTGCAATGAATCATTTTGTTTGTCCAAAGCAATTAAATGTGTCTATAACAGCAGTTTGTATTCATATTTCATATTATGTTGAAGACGTTGAACTTGAATATGTTGACAGAAATATTAAATAAAAAATATCTAATTCTTTGCTTGTCTTTGTCGTTCAGCCATTTGCCTGGTCCTCTATGACAAGAGATTTGGTCTCCTGCAAGAGAAAGTCAACGAGGAAGCCATGAACTTCATCACGGCCGTGAAAACAGTGAGTACACCTGTGGGTTCTTCCACTCAGAGCAGCAGTGCGCGTACTGTAGCAAGAGGACACCTACGATGTCCGGTGAGACCGACTGAACCATGTAGAAACACCGCAGTTCATCAGGTTCATCAGATGAACTGCGGCCGTTGGATGCAGCAGTATCTCACTGTATTTACTGGTTTTTACTGGGGCAAACCAATATCATCCACAATCAGGAGGTGATAAGTGAAGCTCACAAAGGTCTCACAGGGCAGCGGGTGCAAGAAAACAAATTGAAAAGCATTGATTAACACCTAATCCTTTCTCCTTCTCTCCTGTCCTCCCTCTGTAGATGATGGGCACCTTTGGCATGATGATGGTCACACCGGTGGAGCTCCACAAGAGCTTTAACACCAAAAGTTGGCAGGACCACACTGCAGCATGGGACCGCATTTTCAGCACAGGTACAAGCATAGACACAAGTTTATTATATTTACACTATAAAAGTACACAAATATCACTTTTATTTAAGTTCTGGTTCAGTTTTTTTTTGTTTTCGAGCTCCCTTCCAGTCAGACGAGAGATAGAGGAGAACGGAGGGAGAGAGGGGGGGTTTGAACTGGGTGCCTCAGTGTTTTTTGTGTACTTGGTACTCTGGGTAAATGGCAGCCAGAGTTGTAGTAAACCGCATGACCTAAGAGGGAGAAATCTGCCAAATATTTGTAGTAGCAGGAGGTTGGAAAGGGGAGGGAGGGGGTACGAAGAGGGAAGAAAATGAAGCTGGTTGTGCTGTTTATTTGTGTGCAGCTCGTTACAAACTCTCACTCAAAAACTCACATTTTCCTGACATTTTGGTGGCAACTTGCAGGCTGTGTGAGAGCTAGTGAGGTAACTTTATTATTTGTTCAGAGTATTTTTAGTAGCAGCGGACTGCCAGTCAGACTTGAATTCAGAAGTGTATTTTTTTTGCATCATGTGATTTAAATAATGCTCAGCCCTTACAGGCTTCTGACTCACATGAACAGTGAGGGACCAAATCATCTGGAACAGCTGGAAGACACAATTCAAATCATATGGATGTAATATCAGGACAAAACATGAGTTTATGCACATTTTAAAAGTAGAAATTTAAATTTACACATCATGTGCATGTTATTTTTAATGATCATGAATTGTAAACTAGTTGCATTCATGTACAAAGACCACCCAAAGAAAGGATTTAAACGCGAACATAACTTAATCCAGATTACAAACACTGCAACATCTTATTAGCCGATCTATTGAAGCCCAGGATGCAGGCTTAAAATGTCTTTATTTTGTCCAACAAACAGTCAAAACCCAAAGATTTTCCTCTTCCTTACAACATTGTTAACAGAAAGCAGCTACACTTCACATTGTAGGAGCTGGACTCAGCAAATATTTGTCATTTTTACTTGATAAATGACTTAAAAGATTCACCAATCATCAAAATTGTTGCAGATTAATATAAATATATCAATTTATCTTTTCAGCTCTGGTAGTCAGATGTAAAAGTCACAGCTGTCTGTAATATATTGTCTTGTTTTTCCAGACTTAACTCTACTGACAAAATAGAAAGCGGTCAGGAACAACACAGATACCCACACAGAACTTAATATATGTACGATTACATCTGTATTGCTTTCTGTTTCCTCAGCCAAAGTCTACATTGACAAGAAGTTGAAGAGGAACGCCATCAGAGCTCCCGATGACTTAATTGGTGACATCTTGCACCAGAGCAATCTCTCCAAGAAGGAGCTGTATGCAGCCATCACGGAGCTACAGATTGGAGGAGTTGAGACGGTGAGCACTACAGAGATGTGTATTTTGTTGACTGGATCAATTCGACATTATGGGAATTAATTGCTTCCTTGCTGAGAGTTAGATGATCTTCTCTTATAACTCTCAGCAACAACAACAAAAAAACAAGCACCTTTTTAATGTTTTACCTTTCACCTATTTCCCTTCAAGAAAGGAAAGAAAAAAACTGCTCAGCCTCTAAAAAAAACAGGTGCTACAATTACAGTGCTTCAAAGCGGAAAATGAATGTGGTGTGGATGTAACTGAGGAGTCTTTAAAGGAACCCCAAACATTCCTCAGCTCCTTTCAGGACCCCACTGAGGAATGCACTTAAGAGTAGCTGCCTCACTAAGTGACATCTCCTCTCTTCCTCCCACTCTCTCCCTCTCTTTCTCTCTTTCTCGCCGTGTTTACCTTTCTCAGACCGCCAACAGTATGCTGTGGTTTATTTTCAACCTGTCACGTAACCCTGCTGCCCAGAGGAAGCTGCTGGAGGAGATTAGAGAGGTGGTGGCTCCCGACCAGGACCCATGCGGAGAGCACATCAAGAGCATGCCCTACCTCAAGGCCTGCCTCAAGGAGTCCATGAGGTACAGTACAGCTCAGATTATGACAAATAATTAGCTGTAAAAGCTGTAAATGTCCAGCTACACAAGTTAAAAATGGCTGTAGCTGCCGAGGACATGACATAACATCCCCAGTGCAGCTCATGATTGGGTTAAAAATAGCTGTAGCTAGTAGAGTACATGACATAACATCTACCGCTAAATTAGATTTTACTAAACAGTCCGCAGCCCGGAGTCAGACTAACTGGCTACATCATGATTTCAACCAGTACCACGGAGATTAAGAGGCAAAACTCACACACATGACTGCTTCAAAAACAAGCTTCATGAGATACGGTGGCATGACCGGCAACAACCAGAGGTCCCGGCGCGGTCACGTTCAAATCACTTCCTAACCCTTATACGATCCCTTCTTCTCGTGCAGTCACAAGTTGTCTAATGTGTTACTTAACACTAATACCACATCACCCAGGGAATGTATGTACATGACGTCTGACCGGAGATTATGTCTCACCTCATCTCGCGCTGTGAAAAACAGTATGTTCAGCTCCCGTTAAACAGCTTAGATATGTGTGTCATGCTACACTAGAGCTTCACTGAGACCATATTCCCATACGTTCTTTCTTCTTACAGGTTATCGCCATCAGTTCCCTTCACCAGCAGGACTATGGACAAAGACACTGTGTTGGGAGATTATGCGATTCCCAAAGGAGTAAGTGGCTTATTTCTCGTTACCATACACCTAACATGAGCAGATAACATTCTTGTATTAATTTACATTTGACTGATGTCTGCATGAAACGTGTTACCCACTCACATACTGTACAAAGTCTAAATGGAGCAACATTTTAATAGTGTAACTGAATTGAGGGATCAGATTTACAGTAACAAGGTCTTTATTGGGTTTTACTCTTGGAATTGACTGCACTATCTCTTCATCAAGCAGTGGAAAAGTCTGCTTTAACTGGTATTTTCGTTCCTTTACAGACAGTTTTAATGATAAACAGTCACGCGCTGGGGTCCAACGAGGAGTACTTCGACGAAGTGAAGCAGTTCAAACCCGAACGCTGGCTGCGGGAGAACTGCACCACCAACCCTTTCGCCCACGTTCCCTTCGGCATCGGAAAAAGGATGTGCATCGGCCGGCGGCTGGCGGAGCTGCAGCTACAGCTGGCCATGTGCTGGGTAAGATCCGACACCTTCAGCTCAGTTTATAGACTCAATCAGAGAGAGAGAGTCATCAGTCACATGATTCGTATCACCACCCACTGATTCTGTCACTCAACTCTCTCTTGAAGCTTTAACTGACTGATCGAATCCAATCCCTTGCTTGTCTTTCTTACAGTTGGTCAGAGACTATGAGATTGTGGCGACAGATAATGAGCCGCTCAAGGTCATTCATTCAGGACTTTTGGTTCCCAGCAGAGAACTGCCTGTTGCCTTCATCAGGAGATGAGGTGAGACATTTGGGGAGCTTTGCTTATTCTCCCTCTTGCTAATTGTTAAATGAGAAGATTAATACCACTATCTTATTAAATATTAAGCCACAGTCTGCAGCCAGTTAGCTTAGCTTAGCACAAAGACTGGAAACAGGGGGAAACAGCTAGCTTGGCTCTGTCAAACGGTAACAGAATCCATACAACCACCCTACCAGGACCTGTAAAAGCTCACTAATTAACACATTATAACTTGTTTGTTTAATCAGAACAAAAAACTAAACATAAAAACTATTATCGGAATTTCCCCATTGTGGGACAAATAAAGGAATATCTTATCTTATCTTATCTTATCTTATTACTTATTGGCTCCAAGCAGTTGCCAGGCAACCATTGGAAGACTACAGGAAGTTACAGTTGACAAAAAGGTTTAGACTTTTGATACTTTGAATATATTTTGCTGCTAATATTTTCACTGAAGGAAAACTTTGGATGACTAAAATTGGAAATTATTAGAGTTTGTAATGCTACTGTTACTTTGGTAAATACCAACTACTTTATTTGGAGAGGAACAACATTGAGATGTTTTATGTTTTATGTTTTTTTTCCTCAGAGAAGACACAAACATATTCAGGAAGACAACAGTATATTTATTTGAAGGGAGAAACTTAAAGGAGAGCAGGCCCTAGTGAGAATTGAACTCACGACCCCTGGTTTACAAGACCAGTGCTCTAACCACTGAGCTACAGAGCCACATGGAAAGGAGGAACATGTACACAATCAGACCCTTAATATGAGAGCACACTGTTGTTCTTACAGTGATATCAGATGAGATATAACATGTTAATTAGTGAGCTACTTTTGGACTGAACCAGGCTAGCTGCTTCGAATTTCTTCCAGTCTTTGTGCTAAGCTAAGCTAACAGGCTGCCGGCTGAATACGCAAATAAGTGTATCACTCAAATTACTTAAATTCTGATATATTTTTACTTTACTTTCTCGCTCACTGTAACAACAAACGACCACACAGACTGTAGCTTTCACACTGATGAATTATTTTGTTTTTTCGCTCCCTCTCAGGCTTCATATTCAACTCTCCTGGACATAGTGACAGAAAGACGATCCCTCTGTTGCCATGGCCCCTGATGGTCCAGTGACTCCCTGTATTGCTGCTCTGTAAATAGAAAAGACAGAAATTATAATCCATATAATCACGCCATAAATACCTCAAACGTATTTAGTACTATTACTTAGGACTGTTAACGACCAAAACACCAGTTGATATGTACAAACTGAATGTTGTACAACCAAGGCAGCTGTCCTTAAATCTTAATGTCCTCAGACATGTGTATGTAAATGTCAATCTATTACTTTTTGCTTTTCCTTGTTTAATAACTTATATATATATATATATATATAGGTCACACATATGTTTATTTTTCATTGTGTATATAAAGTGCAATATAATATTGTAATATTGTACATTGTTTTATGTAGAGACATATTTTATTCACTGAAGTAAATATATTAATAAATGTATTAAAGCTGGGCCTGTGTTTGTTTTTCAGTTTTTGGGTTAATTTGGAGTTCATACACCTTGAATAAAAGAGCTAAGTAAGAATGATAAAGATCAGTTTTCTAAATTACATGCATGTATATTTATCTTTTTAGAAAAGCCAAAACTTTATTCAAATCATTGTAGACTAATTCTAATCAATCAAATTGATCTAAATCTGTTGGTTGTAATCTAATATGTTTGATTAAATACAATCAAACAAAGCTTTGTGTTTATGTCTTTGCTGTGTAGATCAGGGTTTCATAACCTTGTTGGCTTGTGACTCCTTATAATGAAGACACGTCTACCTGTCACTCCATCGTCAAGGATTTTAGAATCCTGATGAGCTGAAAGTGTCCCTTTAATCAAAACTGTTAACAGGGATCCATCATATCAAGGAATTAAGTCTATAACTAAACGCTCAACACTTAAAACTACTACTTAAAACATAAAAGAATCTGCAGTGAGAATCCAGTCAAAAGATATCAAGTTTACCATCACACAAGAAAAGCATCAAATTCTAACGCTTGAGAAGCTGAAACCAGTAAAATATTTGTTCTTTGAGTTGAAATATGAACTATTATTAAATATGACTTTAATAGTCAATTATCAAAATAGTTCTAATTGCAAACATAGAAATATTCTTTCTTTATGGACTCAAGAGAAAATAAGTTAGAAGACTCTAAAGAAGAACTCAACTTAAGAAGCAGATTTCTTTGCAATGATCTTCTGACCTCTCACATTTATCTTGGGGTCCCTTTGGTGGGTCCCAGTCCCCCAGATTGGGAACCACTAATGTTGATGTGATATATTTTATCTGCAACCTGCAGCATATTTTGTTGTAAAAGGCAGATACACTGAGGAAGGAGTACTGATATATATACTTTCCTTGCAGTCACAGTATCTAATACAATGTAAAAACATTCATCTACTCTGGTGCAGTTCTGAGTTATTTACAATTAAAATGTCCATTTTGTGCTACGTTTTAGTTCTTCTCCACTAAATTTCAGAGGCAAATGTGATTTTTATGACTGTTCACTACAATAATTTGATAGTTAGAGTTATTTTAAAGATTGATAATTTACATATAAAACATACATGTGATCTAACCCTAACCCACAGAACGTGATTATTGTTATAGCTGAACTACAGAATAAAACTTCACTGCTTACACAGTAATGCACACAAATTCTGCTGGCCAGTAATATATCTTTATATAATTTTAAATTTTATACTTCTTTTGCTGCTTAGTATATATATGTTTATATGTGTTTTTTCTTCTGAAATGAACCTATTTGAGAACTCAAGGAACTTTATAGGGAGAATGTGACCAGCACATAAGGTGAAACACAGGCCCTAGTGAGGATTGAACTCACGACCCCTGGTTTACAAGACCAGTGCTCTAACCACTGAGCTATAGAGCCACATGTACAGGTCTTCATCTGTTACATCAACTCAAAATAAGTGTGTGAATGATCAATTTATCTTGATTAAGTTCGATAAAACATTATTTAAATCAGTCTTGGTTCATGAGTGTCGGCATTAATGAAAAATTAATTAAATTAATTAAAGCTGAACCAAACCTACAATTTCAAAAGCGCATTACACAATATCCCTGTGTGCTGTTACTATACAATGAAGTTTACAGGGTTACGTTACGAAAGTGAGTTATGAGGTTAGGAGCTTAGATGTCATGTTACTATATTTGGAATGAAAAGTGTAATAATTATAATAAAAAAATAAACTTCAGTACTATTTCCTTTGATTATTCTTATTATTTAAAAGATATGTAGAATATGAAAATATACAAACCCTCCAACAAACAGAGCAATGGTAATGAAAGCTCCCTTTAAAACAACCGTTGAACAAACACGTGGCTCGACACTGGTGGGTCAACTCTTTAGGTCAAGACTGCACTGCACTTGGATATTTGTGTGTTTCCATTCTTATGCTACAATTCAGAGCAAAATGTTGTTGTTTTCTAAGTGATATCATTTATTTTACAGGTGTAATTACTAATTACTTTTGATTAAAACAGAACATGATACACAATACAATGCATTGATACAAATATTTAACCACTGGTTCACCACTTTTTTTTCCTGCGACTCTTTTACAAAAATAACAGCGTCTGGTTGGGGCCTTTTCTCACATTATGAGCTGTCACCAGAGATTGATGATTTTTCCCTCTAACACCTCAGATGGTTTCATTCAACTATTTGAGGCCCAGAGAGGAAAAAAAACTTTCACAAGAAAGAAAAGATTGTAGAATATTATTTCTGTTTTTCTTCCAACACAACTCATCCCAGATTTATCTTGTGATGGGACTTCATTACACCACCTAACTGTAAATAAAGTAGTTAAAACAAGCTCCACCTGATGTAATTATAGATATAATGTAATATATGAGAATATATTTTAGTACCTTAAGGACAAAGGATTCACATTTTGGACAGACAGGATTGTGAAAGTGGGTTGAAGAGAAAAGCAACACCACTTCTCACATTTGTTGTGCTGATAGCTCCTCTCTGGCAGTATCACACCTTGATTTGTATGACTCTGATGACTCTCACATGACTGCCATGTGACTTAAAGACTCACATGTGGCCTCAGGTGACATCAACACGTGAAGCAGTCAGAAGAGGTTAAAATGCCTCTAGTCCAAAGGAAGGCTTCTCAAAGGCAAAACATCTCTGAGATTATTAAATCAAGATGATTGTTGTGAGATCTGCTGATTTGTTTCCTCTATGAACCAAAGCTGCTCAATAACATAAGTAAATAAAGCTGTAATGTTACTACAGGATGTGTACTGACCATTCAAGGGCACAGTTATAAACAGGGGTTACAGTGGAAATTCAAATTATTATTTAAAGGGACAAATCAACCAAATTGTAAAAGTCACCTACCTCTTCTCCACCTGGGGGCGTTGAGGGGTATCCAGGGGCCTAATGAGATAAAGTACAAGAGTTACTACTCTGTTCATAGGTTTCACACTCTTAATCTGCTCATGTACAGTATACACAGTTGTGGAATAATTTTATCAAACGGGGGTCCCTGAGATCTTATCACATAAGGGTCCACAGCCTGATGTGTATCTTTTTGGAGTCCTTGACACCAGAAAGGTTGAGAACCACTGGTATAGACTATGTAGGTAATTACATTACATCAAAGTTATTTGGCAACATCAACACTTTTGTCCAAAGCAAAGATACACAGAGCCGTAACATTATGAGCACTGACAGGGGAAGTGAATAA